TCAACCCCCAGCCTGTATTGATACTGGGGGTTGCCCCGACCCAGGTGCAGGACCTTGTCCTTGGCCTTGTTGAACCTCATGAGGTTCACACAGGCCCACCTCTCCAGCCTGTCCAGGTCTCTCTGGATGACATCCCGGCCTTCTGGTGTGTCAACCGCACCACTCAGCTTGGTGTCCTCCGCAAACTTGCTGAGGGTGCACTCGGTCTCGCTGTCTATGTCATTGATGAAAACATTAAACAGCACCGGTCCCAGTACGGACCCCTGAGGGACACCACTCGTCACCGGTCTCCATCTGGACATCGAGCCATTGACCACTACCCTCTGGATGCGTCCATCCAGCCAGTTCCTTATCCACTGAACAGTCCACCAAATGGGACTCCTAGGTCATTTTTACTTTTATATTTACATTAAAATCATGGATTCAGGGAACTACAGAGCCAACAACACAGCATCAAAAATGTAACAACCGTAAGACTCTTGCTGCTGTGTATTTAGGGGAGAAATAAATCAACTTTTTTTTTCTCAGCAAAACGACATGGAAAGAAAATAAGGGGTCTACTTACACTGTACGATGAGCTGAACCAGTGCTTCTCTGGGTTTCACATTAAACCCATTGTATTGGCTGGTCTGGCACCTGTAGGTTCCCGTCATCTCCCTGGAGACGTTCACTATCCTCAGGATCCCATCGTAGCTCTCCGTCTGCATCGCCCCATCCGGCATCACCACCTCCTTGTCTGCTCGGGACCAGAGAATGATGGGCTTGGGCTTCCCTGTCACCTGGCACTGCAGCTCGATCGTGTCCCCTTCCCGGGTGACCAGGGGCGACTTTTCTTGAGGAACAGTCAAATTGGGTGGGACTTCAAAGGAGAAAAACAGACGGTTCAACAATTAGCATTACAGACCTCAGGGGGCTTGCTCATACAGTCATCATTATATATGAAGAATTACTTTATACACAGACCGCAATGCATAGTGACTACCTATATAGGAAGACTGTGCAATGCTCCTATATTCATGAGCCAAGGTGCTCAGTTGCTTGAAGTGGTTAAAATAAGATTTAACGGCCCCAGCTATGACACCGGCTTGCCTCCCTGTGCACCTCCGGCACGCCGATACGCCGTACCAGCGTACGTCAGCGCATTCGAAGTGCCGCTCGCAGCTAGAACTTTATCACTGCAAGTTATGGCTTTTCTTTTTATGAGTATTTGGCACTAAACCCCCTTTTTTATAGCAGACCGGCTGCTGGTTTTATCCAGCTCATAATGGCCACGCTACGAGGAAGGAGCCTGCCAATCCAGAGATCAGCTCAGAATTCAAGACCTGAAACTGAAACGCAGTTGGCACCTTTCTAGCACAGGAGGTTTATCGAGGCGGTGGGTTTTTTTGGAGAGATTTGCATGAACAAATTCAGAAGGAATATGTCAACAGCTGCTTCCAGCAGGAGTGAAGACACCCCTTGGAGCAGGAGTACCTGGCACGGCCGCACAGTGAGCCGGCGGTGCCCAAGGACCCATCCTGCCTCCTCTCCGTAGCCTTAACAAGAGCAAAACTTTCTTATTGCCCCTGGCGCCTCTCCGAACGACGAGCCACGGCTCTGGGTCACCACTCCTTGGCAGCGAGGAGAAGTGTGAGCTCACCACGGCAGAGACGCTGCTGACACGGCGCTTGATCAGGACAGAAAGGCAGTGGCGTCCCTAGCAAAGGCATCGGAGCTTGCACAACGGGCATCCCGGTGAGCTTCCACCCTCCGGTCCACCACAGGCGGCCCCTCCCGGTGAGCTTCCACCCTCCGGTCCACCACAGGCAGCCCCTCCTGGTGAGCTTCCACCCTCCGGTTCACCACAGGCGGCCCCTCCGCCTCGGTCATTTGGATGACAGCGTTTGATAATTACAAAGCACCGCAAGCTCCAGCCGCCCGGCGAGGTCGGTTTTGCCATGTCCAGTTACCCTTCCCATCTCACCATACCCACGCTGGGTTTATAGCCAAGCTCTCACTCCTCTCTTAGTGCGAGGCAAAGGGAAGCTCCATCTCCGAAGCTGCCTGCCATCCCCAGATCTCGCGTGGTGCCTTTGGCGCCACAAACCCTTGAGGGTTTCCGTGTGGTGGGGGAAGATATGGAAGAGCCAGACTGAGACACCACCCACCCTCCCTTTCATAGAATCATAGAATCACTTTGGTTGGAAAAGCCCTTGAAGATCATCACGTCCAACCGTTCCCCTAACCCTGCCATCCCACCACTAAACCCTGGCCCTCAGCACCTCATCTATCCTTCTTTTAAATACCTCCAGGGATGAGGAGTCGACCACCTCCCTGGGCAGCCCATTTCCTTTTGTGCCTTCCAAAAACTCAGCTGCCCTTATGGGTCCCTCTGTTCTGAATCACGTAGGGAGATGCTCCCTCCTAGGAGCTTTACCTTTCCACGCCGCCCTGCCCTCAACTACTTTGCTTGAATGCCAGGACTGACAAAATACAGCCTGCACTGCAACTCCTGTCCGCGGGAAAAAGAAATCATCCAAGGCTATTTTCAGGCCCCAAGAGGCAGAAGCAACAGACTTGTACCAGTGAGAAACAGCTCCAGATTCTCCCCTGGGATCTACCCTGTCTCTGCAGACCTGACAAGCCTGCAAGGAATCAAAGTTTAAATCAGGGACTTTCACAGGTACCAAAATGCTTTTTTCAGCTGTTTTGAAGGCTTTAATAGCTCCTTCTGAATCTGGTGTGACATTGTCCTGGTTTTGGCTGGGACAGAGTTAATTTTCTTCCCAGCAGCGGCCCCAGCGCTGGGGTTTGGGTTTCGGAGGAGCAGAATGTTGGTCACTCCCTGATGGCTCCGTTGGTGCTGAGCAGGGCTTACACCAGGCAAGGACTTTTCAGCTTCCCCTGCTCTGCCAGGGGCACAAGGAGCTGGGAGGGGGCACGGCCAGGACAGCCGACCCCAACTGGCCCCAGGGCTATTCCAGACCAAGGGGCCTCATGCCCAGTATGGAAACCGGGGGGGCTGGCTGGGGGGCAGGGACCGCTGCTCGGGGACGGGCTGGGCATCGTTCAGTGGGTGGTGAGCAATTGCATTGTGCAGCACTTGTTTTGTATGTTCTATTATTGATTTAATTTTACTTTACTTTATTTAAATTATTAAACTGTTAACGCAGGAGTTTTCTCACTTTTATTCTTCCGGTTTTCTCCCCCATCCCGCTGGAGGGGGGGAGTGAGCGAGCGGCTGCGTGGGGCTTGGTTGCTGGTTGGTGTTAAACCACTACAGACATGCAATAGTGGAAATAACTTTTTCCACGGGACAGTAAAGGAAAAATTAATTTCTACTTCAAAAAAAAAAAAAAGAAAAAAAAAGACTGCTTAATAAACCATCCCCAACATTATTAAAACATTTTTATTTGAATACACACTTATGCCTGTGTGTGCCATAGCAGGTCCTGAGCACAGGCCAGTGCCCAGGAGACCTGGATCACCTGGGGGGGGTGGGCAGAGGAGAACTGCCCCATGAAGATGCCCAAAAGCCCTTGGTGAGGAAGGGCTGCAGGACCTGAGCGGGTCCAACCCGGCGCAGGGAGGGTGGTACAGACCATGAGAGCAGCCTTGGCAGAGCTCTATCAGAGCTCAGGGAATAAATACAGAGGGAAAAAAAAAAGAGGAAGAACCTGTTGACTGTGAGGGTGATGGAGTCCTGGCCCAGGCTGCCCAGGGGGGCTGTGGAGTCTCCTTCTCTGGAGATCTTCA